GGGACCGGGCAGATAATAATAATAACTACGTTAAATCCCTGTCAATTAGTATAAGTTGGCTTCCGCCACTGAACAGAATTGATAATGGTTTTGAAAGAATTTTAAAGTGGGCATCTAATTTCATGCCATTTGAATAAAACAGAAGGGTAACAATTATAGCTTGATGCTGACAATTATTGAATGTGACAAAAGGCATTCAAAATTAGAAGAAATGGTATTTATTTTTAGCATTTGTTATTGTTTTAGGGCAAAGTTGGAACTTTGATATGAAGTAAGATTTACTCTCCAAATCACAATGGAGCATGTATTGTTTATCCTCTTGCTTGTTGGCTTGTAATATAGATTGCTTGGTTGGATTAGGTTAGTCAAGCCACGAGAAGAATATGAATCAAAGTTAAAAGTTGTTGTGACATGGAAAATTTGCTTGGGAAAACTATAACTCGTAACTCATGAAGTCTAATGCCTAGAGGCAAATCTCAATTAAGTGACTTGATTTAGTTGTTTATTAATGGAGGTTATTCTGCTAAGTGCTTGCTAAACGACTGGGAGATCTTATCAGCATAAGTGAGGGTATTCACTTGAAGTTCTCATCACTAGAAGATAATAGCAAGCATATCGTACCTGATACAGAATTAACTAAAATGGTTTTAACCTATAAAATCTTTATATAATTGTAATACGTAGTCAACTTTATGACAATAATCTTGATCCTCGCCCATAAGGATGAGCGCATTCATCAAGTTGCATGGATGAAATATGAGTTTGAAATTATGAGAAGGAAAGGATTGAAATATTTTTAGAATTCTCTGAAAATTATGTTAAGTAGTTAAGTTCAACTCACCCCTCTTTGCTCAACTAGATTGTAATTAATTTTTTTATGAATAAAATTCTCTAAAAGGCTCATTTAAACAATCTCTTAATTTTTAATCTCTTTATATTTGACTCTTTTTTTTTCAAAGTTTTGGCCTTTTTACATTAATAGCATTGAGAGGTAATATTTTATTTTGTATATATAAGAATTTTTATGTTGATTTTATTTTTCTATAACAAAGGATGATTTTAAATTTATGAGTGATTAATTTTAAAAATGATGTAGCTATAAAAAAATATAAAAGATTAAAAGTGCATATTATCAATCACAAAATATAGAATCTCTCTCATAAATTATGTTTTGCATAGAATATCTCATTGTACTTATTCTGCCAACAAAAATATGTTTTAAGAACTTATTGACTAATAAAACCTAATAAAAATTTATAACTAAAGTTTCATTAATAACTATAGTTATTATCACATTACAATAGAAACCACCCATCCTATCATAATTTTGCATTTTTTTTGCAATTATAATATTATTTTCATCATAAATATATAAATCTTTTGCAAATGCATCACAAGTTAGCAGTGATTGTTGTAGAGATGGTTAATATTTTCACAAAACCATCTTAAATACACTGCAAATATGCAAGAATATTTTAATTTCATTATAAATTCATCATAAACAACCATAAAATACATATTATGATGATTGTATTTTAATATTTTTCTCATATAGACTTAAAATATATCTCTCCAAATCTTTACACATCAATTACAACAGTAACAAATACTCATAAATTAATGCACATTGAATGCATAATTTTCATAACTATGATAAATATACAAGTGAACAAAATTATATATGCATTAACAAAATATAAAATTGTCTTTGTTAGAACTTTAGTGTCTGTAAATAAAAATATAGTTCAAGAATATTTAAATCAAAGACATTTGTGTTTATCATTTTGTTTACTCCTTACCATCTGTGGCCTTCCCTCATGAGCTATCACAAATTTATTGTACAATTTATGTCAATAAACAATCAAAGAAGTTATAAAAGGTGCCTTTTGGGCATAGTTCAAATAATATTCATCAATTGCCTCATTTAATGTTATGATGGTCATGATTAAGATAAAATCCTAAGAGTCATCTTTGTGCTTGCTATGAATAGTTCTTTTAAGCTCAGAGTGAGTGTCATTAGGTGTGTATCCATAAACTATAGCTTTCTCTAAGTATCATGTAACTCTCATCCATGTATGAGTATATATATATATATATATATATATATATATATATATGGGTAGCATATAATTTGTTGTTACATGTCTTTTTAATCCATTTATTAAGCATATGTAACCCACAAAGTGAGCCATTTATTTGAAATGATAATCACCCAAGCGGTGAACATATCAAAGTCATGCATATACTTGACAAACTTGTGTGTCTGGCTCAAAATGTGTAGCAATTAAGATTTATAGAGCGCATTAATTGGATGAAGTGGTGTTGAAATTATAAATAATAAACTTTTAATTGAAAAATTAAAAAAAATATTATGATAAAATAAATTAAATTCACA